ATTTTATGAATTTTTACAAGGCATGTGACAATGCGATACGTACGACGTATTCGTAATTAAACTCATTTATAAATCTGTTGTCAACAAAAATAAGCATGGAGGTCTTTAGACGGTCGGTTCTTTTCAAAGATACATACATATAAAAACACCAGCGCTGCATTTTAATTTTGAAACTTGCAGTGCTCAGTTTATTCAACGAAGTATAAGTCTTTTGGAAAATCTATTTGTGGTGGTCAGTTTTAATACTGTGACGGGCCGCCACAAATAACTCAATGTATGTGAAACACTGGACACTGCTAGAAGTCAAATGGCCAAGTGATAACAAAAATAAAAGTTCACACATATTACACAGCCAGCTGCTCATAGCTGCGAGTGCACTGGCCATGTCAGACCTACACACACATTTCATGAGGAAAGTTTACGTGCACGTTATAATCAGCCCAGAAGTTTCGTCTGAATTGCATGTTTCTACTTTTACATGCAAATGACTTGTTGCACTTATGAATATGATAACTTTCCGGCATCAATTCTAGTAGGGTAAAACGTAATTACGCTTTTGAAACCGTCTATTTTGCCCTGCCATCATTAGCTGAAGCTGTGTGTGAACAAGAAGCGGCTGCAGTGTGCGAGTTGCTCCGTCTCTCACACAGCCAGAGAGAGATTCTCCGGTGTTCCGCAACAACGCTTAGCTGCCCGCAGATGCGCCTGCCTATAAATCGGCCTAATTTGCAGCACAATCAGCCGATGCCGATTAATTTAAAAAAAATGCCAAAAATCGGCCGACCTCGATTCATGTAGAAGAGAGAAGAGGAAAAAAAAAAATATATATCTCTTGTAACAAACATCTCAACTAGGGGTGTTCATTATGACGATATTTGATCATGGACGATAAAAATGTCTCCACGATCTGCTTTTGAAGAAATATCGTAGTATCGTGCTACAGTGTACATTCTATCAGTTACAGTTCTGGCGCCTCCATCTTAATATACTGTACAATGCGACATACATTCACATCAGTGTTAACTCAGCGGTACAGATTCTTGCACGGGACACTGCACTTACTCGCAGTCACAAAAGTACATTATTTGCATGTGCTTTAAAGTCTATTAAGTTACGGTTACTGGTTAAATGTTTAATTCGCGTGCTGTTCTGACATGTGCTTTTTCTAAGTGCATACACCCGAAGCGCGCTCACAACCGGTATCGAAGTCAAGGTATCGGTATCGAAAATTTTTGAACAATACCCAGCCCTACTAAAACGACTGTCAAACAGCGCCTGATTACGGAACTAAGTTATCTTTTGCGTTAATACAGTCAAAACACACAAGGTTTTCATATAGACATTGGTTTATGTCTAAAATTAAAGTAAACCGTTGAGAGAAAAATAGATGCATGTCTGTATATTAGATGCGTGCAGCTCTTAAAGGGACAGTATTAAACATGCTGCCGCTTGTCATTAAAGGGATAGTTCACCCAAAAATGTATTCTTTGCCATTATTTACTCACATGTTGTCCCAAACCTGTATTAATTTCTTTCTTGTGCTGAACACAAAAGAAGATATTTTGAAGAATGTGGGTAACCAAACAGTTGCTGGTCCACATTGAATTTAGGAAAAATACTATGGAAGTCACTGTGGACCAGCAACGGTTTGGTTTTCCACATTCTTCAAAATAGCATTTATGTTCAGCAGAAGAAAGAAACTCATTCAGGTTTAAAACAACTTTTGAGTGAGAAAATGATGGTATAAAAATAAAACACTATGGCAGAATTGACAAAGATAACAGAATTTTTATTTTTAGGTGAATTATTCTTTTAATATTAATAAAACCCCAAAACACAGAAAAATCACTCACTACTCTTGACTGAAAAACTTTAATACAGTTGCTTTAGGAATCAATATATATAGTGTTTTATTTCTGTTTGGTTAATTCAATATCTTGAATGCGCTTGTTAAATACACCTATTGTACCTGAAAATAAAACATTGTTTGTTTTATTTGTATATCATGTATATTTGTAATGTGCATCTTTGTACTCATTTTTTAATAAAGATAAAATAAATGACAAAGCTTTTTTATCTTTGCCCACTTTGACCTAAATATCAGCTATTCTTTTTTATATTTTGTTAACTTGAAAGATTTGTCTTTATAATAGGGAAATTACTTTGGCTGTAATGCCCAGACAACTTGCAAAACCAACATGACAAAGAGCCGTGCCGAGCAGAGTCGTACCACGCAGTGGAAAAGCGCCATTAATTTTTTTATTCTTAGTGAACCCAAACCTTTGAATGGTAGTGCATTTGCTAGAGAACATGTAGGTGTCTGAAGTTAAATCACAGTGCTATAATGACCTCTAAACCTCAGATGCCTGGAATTCTCCAGAGTCTCGCGCAGAGCCTCAGGCCAGTGATGCCAGTTCATGGGGTAGAGGAAACATTTAGAAGCGTGAAAAGATACCACAACGACACGAAAGCTGCCAAGCATTTAGAATGTGAAATAAGTTTCCTCACGCTGGCCTCAAACCAGAGCAGTTGATTTTTATTTCCATAGGAAACTGCTCATGTCTGATTCAGGGACAGTCTTCCTTACTGCATGG